ATATGTGTTGTGTGTGGTATTTTGGGGAACTCACTAAGCATTTATGCTTACAGTGTTGTGTTATGTGTTTCAGGTACCAGTGAGGATCGCGGGAAGGCGCCGGCTTGATCAGTACACACACGAGGAGTTTTTACATACTATGATCTTGGGATGTGATGTTATGGATTGTTGTGAAACAATGATATTTTTATGACAATTATGAATGAAAGTGTGATTTTAAATTGTGAAAAATTATTTGAAAATTTTGGGTGTTACAGTGAGACCCGTGGTGGTTTTATAGGGCAAACCACGACATCGGCCGATGGTGACACTTAATAATGTAGGACCATGGTGATGAACCATGGTTTTATTATGTCAAACCATGGTATTGGGCCGATGGTGAGTCGTTATGCCAAACCATGGTGATGACCCATGGTGGCTTTATAGGTTGAACCATGGTTTCGGTCGATGGTGACACTTATTGATGTTGAACCATGATGGCTTTATTATATGTCGAGCCATGACACCGAGCCGATGGTGACTTGTTATGCCAAACCATGGTGATGAGCCATGGTGGCTTTGTAGGTCGAACCATGGCTTCTGTTAATTGTGACACTTATTGATGTCGGACCATGGTGATGAATCATGGTGGCTTTATTATGTCAAACCATGGCACTGAGCCGATGGTGACTCATTATGCCAAACAATAGTGATAATCCATGGTGGCTTTATAGGTCGAACCATGGCTTCGGCCGATGGTGACACTTATTGATGTCGGACCATGGTGATGAACTATGGTGGCTTATTATGTCGAACCATGGCACTGAGCCGATGGTGAATCGTTATGCCAAACCATGGTGATGAGCTATGGTGGCTTTATACGTCGTTACATGAAGACTACCTCTACCAAAGAATTTACATGAACCTTTTGTCACAAGATAAGCCATTCCTTATGAAATAGGAGGATTGGGAGTTGTTAGATCGACATGCACTTGGTGTGGTGCTTTTATTATTTGTAAAGAATGTAAATAGCCCAGTGTCATTTTGGGCTCGTTTGGCATCTTTGGACTTTGGGCCTTGGATTTGGATCTTGAGCTTTGAGAGTTGGACTTCTTGGACTGAGGATTTGTTTTTGGAATTAGACTCCTCCTTGGACTAGGTTTTGGGCTTTCTTTGTTGGGCCTTGTGGGCCCAATGGGCTTAAGCCTCGTGATGTCTTTTGGAGCTTGTTGCCTCGGGCCTTTTGGGCCATTTGAGATAATTATTGGACTAAGGAAATTAATGGGCTTAGGATAAGGCCCATATAGGGGTTGGGCCCAATTTGGAAAATTGAGCCATTAGCGGGCCTTTGTGGATCTTTTGGTTTTGGGCCTCAGTTTTGGTTCAAGTTGGGCCAAGGGTAAAATGGTCATTTTACCCCAAGTATGGATTTTGGATCATAGTTTGGAGCCCAATTGCTAATTGGGTTTATTTTGTATTGTTAGCTTGGGAAGTCGTTAGGGCATCAAATAGGGATTTCTTTCAGTGAACCTCTGCATTCGAGGTGAGTCTCTTCACTGTTCTAAGGGTCAAAGGAACCACTGCGGCCCATTTAGTTTATGTATTGTTGGAAGACCCGGGGATAACCCTTGGCAGTTTGCATGGAAGACCCAGAGGTGGCTCTTGACACTTGTCTGTAAGACCCAGGGTTTTGGCCCCCGGCCTGGCAAGGAAGACCACGAGGCGGCTCGTGGCATAATGGCAAGACTATGAATGACACATAACACTTTTATTAATTGACTATTTATGTATGATATATATGGATCGTTTGATATGTTTAGTATGTAATATTTGGGGAACTCACTAAGCTTTGTGCTTACAATTTGTGGTTTATGGTTTCAGGTACTTCCGGTTCGAAAGGAAAGACTCGGCTTGATCGGAGCGCATACACCCGTGTTTTCCGCAATACGTGATTTTGGGATTAAACTCTGATAATTGTTATATTTTGAAATGCCTTTAAATGTTTGGATAAAGTTACATTAATGTTTTGATTATAATAAAAATGAAATTTTTACTCTTGATTTCGGGATGTTACAGGGGGTGCATAAATAATTTTAAGAAATGTTCTCATCTTTTTTCACTTGGATTGTCACTTTAAGTAGGGATGTCAATGGGCCAAACGGGATTGTGGTTGCATCCCGACCCCCACCCCCACAGTTCCCCCGTTCCCTCATCCCACTTGATTTTGGTTTGATTTTTTTGGGGCTAAAAGACAATTTTTTAGGCTAAAACAAACTATTTTTTATTTATAGCAAAATTTTACATGTTAAAAACAAAATGTTATGACATCTCAAAAACATTATACTAACAACTTAAAAATATGATTTATTGCTGAATTATGACAACTCAAAATCATTTATTATTTATATATATATATATAATATATATATATATATAATATATATATATATATAATAGATATATATATATATATATAATATATATAATATATATATATATTATATATAGATATATAATATATATATATATATAATATTAACGGGGCCCTCGTTGGAGTTTTGGGACGAGATTGCGCACCCCAAACAAAAGCGGGGGTTAAACCTTCCTTCTCTTCTGCCCATAATTTTTTTAAACAAATACCCTCTATAGAGATCATGGTCTTACGAGACTTTTTGACTTTCCTAACTGTAAGGGTGAGAATGATGCTGAAGTAAAGATACAAAAATTGTTACAAAATAATAATACACGGGTAGTCCTGAATGAACAAAATAATCAGAGGGTGCACTAATAATTTGAGATGGGGAAGGTTGCATAAATAATTTCAAAAAATGTTCTTATATTTTTTTTCACTTGGATAGAGGATAGTACGAGGGTGAGAGTGTTGTTCATGAAGGTAAGGTGGAGTTAGATTGATTAAATTATTTTAAGAAAATAAATGTAAATAATTCTGAGAAAATAAATGAATAAAAAAATATAGACAATATAGATTGTTTTCATGTGTTACAAAAGAATAACACAGATACAGTTCGAACGAACAATTTTTTTAATAATATTAATAATCATAATATGTATTGAATAAAAAAATTAAAAATTAAAAATAAGAGTAAACAATAAAGAAAAATAAAAAACCCCAACTAAAGATGAAATGTCAAATTCGGGTGCACCATAAAGGATTCTCATTCCGACTGAAATTAAAGGAGATTCGTTTTAGCCGTTAAAATACAATATTAATTTATTATAACAAAAAAGTCATAGTAGTATAAAAATTATTATAAAAAGTATGTATATATTTACTGTTACGGAAATTCATCACGTTTACAGTATATGGTTATAAACTTATAATATTGAAAAAGGACAAATATGAACTCGTTTTCGTTTTGCGATGAACGTACCCAACATTTTCAAGATATTGATTCTCATTCTCATATAGAATGATTCTTCATATCCCCTTCAAGTTCAAACCTATAAATTAACCGATCAGCAACACTCCTCCATACATCCATCCGTACTTTCAATTTACTTTCATCGATCTCCAATGCCTGCAAATCCACAGAAGCAGCTTCGGAGGCTCCCACAAGCTTTTAGCCGGTTTCTCGAGCTCCCTCTCCATTCACACGCCGACGTATTCATCCAAGATAGATCTGATTGCTTCCAGTTTACAGCGAATATTGACGCCAACACCTTTTCATCAGGCCAGGTAAGGGCTCATGTCGTGAAGATTCACCCGGAGGTGACGAAAGTTGTTGTCAAGGAAGGAAATGGCGGAGGAGAGGAGGTGGATAAATTGGAGGTTGATGTGTGGAGATCTAGACTTCCGGCAACAACACGACTGGAGTTGGCGACGGCTGTTGTTGTAGGAAGAAAGCTTACTGTTACAGTGCCAAAGGGAGGCCGAAGCAGCTATGGGGGCAAGGTTGAAGATGAAGGTGACAGAGACAGAGGGCGGTTTATATTTATACATTAATAGAATCGAGTGCATGCATGATTATAGATCATAGATGACAATTTGACTTGATGAAACCATGAAATAATATTAAGTTAAAGAGATCCTGTTAAAATTCTCGTTTAGTATGAATACGAGATGTACTCCCTTTACTAATACTGTAACAATAATATGACAACCATTAAATAAGAGTGTGACATCCTTATTAGCTATAATTTATACACCCTCAACCTCAACTCAACGCTCGACTCACCACAAATAAGTTTGCATTATTCAGTTAGCTTAATTGACATTAACCAAAGTATCAAACAGGCTTCAAGTACAAGTAAAATATTTTCGACACCTCGTTTAATGGATTTCGTTGGTATTTATAATAGTAGAATTAATGTTCAAACGGTGAAACAAAATCTTTCGGTTGATTCTACCCAAGTGTAAATTTTGAAACTTATTGAACATGAAAGTTGAAATACTAGCTAATACAACCGTGCATGCATGCAATTAATAAAAACCTGCGTAACATTTGATTTATGCAACCTTATAATGCATTAAAGGAGGTTTTTCTTTCTTTCTTTTTTTCTTTTTTTCTTCTAGAGGACAAATAAGCCTGTTTTTTTTACCTTTGTCAAAAGGTGCACTGCATTTCTATAGTTTTTTTTTTTTTTTTTTTTTTTTTTTTTTTTTTTTTAAGGATAACTACTTCAGAATTTGACATAGCATGAATTTTAAATATGATGTTTCAACGTGGAATTTGACACATTGTTTGCATTATGATCTCCTAACACTGCCCTCAATTCTAATTAATCAAGTTAAAATATTCCTAAATGAGAGATTCCCGGCCATGTCATGGCGTTACGTTGACAATATGGTCGGATGTTGAAATTAATTTAGGATTTGAGAACAAGAATATGAAATATGAGAATACCATAACTTTTCTTTTATTTTTACTATTATTATTATATATATATATATTAAAGATGTGAAAAAATTTAACAGTTCTTTCCTGTGATTGGCTGCAAATTTTTTTTTTTTGATTTTCAGGTTGCTGTCCACCGCTTCTTATTCTCTTCCTATTAAAAATCCCTAAAACCACCCGACCGCCATAGACTCTATTCCCGATTTTCCTCACCGACTCTATCCATCTCTCGATTCTTCTTCTGTATTTTCAATTCCATCCAAAACTCAAACGCTCCAATACAGGAATATCTTCAGCCATCCGCTATATTTATCTGTATAACCCACCGCCCATACACACTTGTCTCGATGCTTCCCACCGCCTCTAGAAAACCTTCACCCACTTAAAACCAGTCTTGGGAACGATATAGCCATCGGTTGGCGACGAATGGATCGACAACTCCTTCCATCATCTTCACCAGGTCTATGGTTCTTCTACTTCACGCAACCGTCCGGTTGCACGACTTTTTCTCTCTCCTTTAATCCTCTTCTTCTGCAATTCCGATCCCCACCCGACGCTTTATTACAAAATATAATGACCGCATCTGGTGTTTCTCTTTATTTTTATGTATTCCTTCGTTTTGGGGTACGATTCCGTCGCCCTACAGAGAAATCGAAGCAAAATTAGTTCAGCAATTTGAAGTGGGTCGGTTCTCTTTTCTTTTTATCGATCGTGGTTGAACCTGGAAACCTCCCGTGAAGAACCCTAAATTCGTCGATTTTGCTCTGCTCCTTCTCTATTCGATTACGCCTCCAATCGATGATGATTCTATTGAAGACGAGTACAATTTGTTTGAAGCGTCCAAATTTTATTTTAGGGTTTTCCAATTCTTTCAGTACAGGTAATAATTTATGTGTCATTTTCCTCCCTTTTTGTTTTTTCTTGATGCTTACATTGACGTTTTCACCGTATCCCTTCGTTTGAACAAAGAAACGTATCCCTAACAGAATTTGTCCATAAAGGAAAGAATGAAAGATGAGGAAGAACAGAAGAAGAGGAGACGATATCGGAAAAATTGATGTTTATGCTGACCAATCGCCGTTCTTGACGCTGATTGCCATCGCTTGGAGCTTTCAACGGTAACAAAAATAATTCTTTACCTGCGTCTTGCTGATATGTCCAAATTACCTTCTGGTAAGTATGCACTTTACCGTTTATGTTTCCCTTCTAAACCCATAGTGTAGGTGAGGCATGTGCAACCTGAAATCGATGCTAGAAGATCACAATGACCAAATGCAGGTGAGTTAAGTGGACTATTTAGTATATCCACGTTTACCATTCACGAGAAACAACTATCTTCATATTTTGTGGGAATCAAAATAATCAAGGTAATTAAGCTATTTTTTAGCACATGTGATTTTGGAATTCTTGCCCAATTCCATTTCTATCCCAAATCCCACATCGAAGTCACTTTAAAATCACCATTTTGAACAAGTTCTTTAATTGGGGTTTCTTTCTGGAATTCATAAACATTTTTTGTTTACTTGAGCTAAGTTCAAAGCTAGCTTTTGTTGTTTCTGGGTTTTAGGAATTTCGAATGTCTTCTTCTACCAAGCTTTTTATTGACAATGTAGAAGAACTTTTCCCTGTTTTGTTTAATTTACTATTAGTGTATTGGTCGGACGTTGCTCGGTACGAGTATTGAAAGTCAAATCAAAAGGATCGACACCATACCTTGAATATAGTAAGGTAATGATTTATTCATATTTTGATCATCAGTTTCATGCTTTCATTTTTATCCATCTTCATTTCTCTGTTATTTTACTTATTATGGCATGCAAGGTTCTAAAGTTATATGGAAATTTGTCTATTTATAATGCATCAGGTTGCCAGGAATGAGAGAATCCTTGAGTCATTGAATTTATTTAGGAGTATGTTTATTTTCATGGTTTTTTATGCAGTACAATATAAAGGAAGGCATTGTAGATCTTAATAATGAGATCTGGTTACTAATTTTCGTATGTTTACACCAACTTTTTTCTGGTTCTGATTTGTGAATGTATTGATTACCTCCATTTTTTGCAGGCAGACATACAAAATCGAGTGATCCATAACTCGATCACTAACTTTTTTAACCACAAATATGCACGTTTGTTATCCCAATGGACACTGATCTAACAAACACAACTGTAAGTCTAGCAATTTTGAATTATACCTTTATGCCCATTTTCTTCATAACTTTCTTCTTTCTTATTGCAGGTTTATATCGACAATCTTGACCCTGGTGTTGCAGAGGAGGGATTGAGGTCGATTTTCTTGCAATTTGGTGAAATAGTTTATGTCAAAATTCCTGCTGCAAAAGGATGCAGGTTTGTTCAGTTTGTCAACAGGTAAGTCTTAAATTTGTCAAAAAAAAACTTGATACATGAAAAAACTGTAAAAAGTTAATTACTAATTTCCTGTAGGACATCTGCTGAAGAAGCAATTCAAAGGATGCATGGAAGTCAAATTGGTCTAACTGTAGTCCACCTTTCTTGGGGAAAAAGCACAGCTGCTAAACAGGTGAACATTAATTATGATATGCGACAAACAAACTTTTCAGATTTATTTTATTTTGATTTTTTAGTTAATTATCAGTGAGTAGGTTATTGGTGTTTTAAGTAAAGAAAGCTGAAATCGGGTGTTTTTGTTCATCTTCGGTCAAATTTATGGAGCAAAAGCATGAAGTTCATCAAAGGGGGTTAGTTGATTTAACTTTTCCTCTTTTTTTTTGTTTACATGTTGTCTTTTTCCATTCAAATATACGGTTAGTAATAGTTGAAATCTAGAGTCTATTGGAAGCTATGAAAACCGTTGGTAGGTGGTACAAGCGACATAATAGTATGAGAAAAAAGTATAGTTTTGACTACCATTCAACGGTTTAGTAAATATATAAAATGTTTTTATCCATTCAATTTCTTACTTTAGTGAGTTCTTAATGTATTTTTCTTAACTATATTTAAAATGTATAAGAGATGAAATTACGTGGACATATAGATATCTTACCTGTATTTCATTTTCATTTGAGACACTGAAAATAAACCTTTGGTTTTGTATGAACTGGAAGAAAACAAAAGAATATCAGTGAAACATATATCCAATTATGAACTTACACAAAGTACTCTTCTTTAAAATAGTTAAAATCAAGTTGTTCAGAAACGATTTTATAGTTTTAGGACCATATTGCCCCTGCCCGTTGTTTTTATATTAATAAAATTTAATTCTTACAGTTTTAGGGTCATACTGACCCTACACACCGTTTTTACATTTAAAAAAAATTTAATTTTTATAGTGTTAGGATGATATTGCCCCTGAACACTTTTTTTATATTAATAAAAATCAATTTTTATAGTTTTAGAACTATATTGCCCCTGAACAGTGTTTTAATATTAAAAAAACAATTTTTACATTTTTAGGACGATATTAATTTGATACAATTTTTTTTTTGGAAGAAAACATTTCAAACTCCGGAATTATGGATTCCATTTCGGTTTCATATCAGTTAAATGGAACAGTTATGGATGACTCTCCTTCATATTTGTCGTTTAGTTTTTGGAGTATCCAAATCTGTGGATTAATATAAGAATTCAATTTTATGACCATTTTTTTGTAGGGATACGAGTTGTTACATTAAAGGCAGCCTTACATCCAAGAAGTTTTTATTACTGAAAATTTGGAACTCGGTGTTAAACTCTCATGGAGTAATGTGAAATCAAGGGTATGCACAATCAAAGCACAATATGATACAAGAAGCTCCAGTGGAAATGCCATACAGGCACGTTCTCGACATATTTCAAATAATGCAGGAGAACATGAGTGCAGCAACAGACATCTACAAAAAAATCATTGAAGACCACCGAACACCATAAGGAACCACACTGTTCCGACTCTTTTGTAATCGAATGCCCTGTAATGATCTATTAATGAATCGATATCTTTTTATCGTCATCTCTTGATACATTTATCTACCCCAAAAACAAAAAAGGATATGGATTGTTTTGGCTGACTGTTCGACCCAATATCATACGACCATATCAACTACCCCTGCCCCCTGCGAAGCGGGGGTTACAACTCTAGTTATTATTAGGGGTGTGCGCGGTGCGGTTTGGTGCGGTTTAGAGTCAAAACCGCAAACCGCACCGCATATGCGGTTTGAATATTTTAGAAACCGCAAACCGCACCACAAATGTTCAAAACCGCGTTATGCGGTGCGGTTTGATGAGGGCGGTTTATGCGGTTTGGTTGCGGTTTGTGCGGTTTGATGAGTTGTTCAACATTAAATCTATCAAAAAACCAAAAAACTGACCCGGTTAAAAAAAATTGATTGCTTTTATTTTTATAAAAACAAATACAATTTTCAAGTTAAATCGTTTTTAATAAATTGTGATTCATGCTACTATAGTTTTGTAGGTGTCACTGTTATTGCTTTATATTGCCGTTATAGTTGTTATATTCTTGTAAACTGTGGGATCTTAATCTAATAGTGATTTAATGTTACGTTATATATATTTGATTATTGTAAGAAATATATTTAAATACATCGTTTCTAAATCGTGATTTGAAGTTATAACAAAGTAAAGAAAAAAAAGTATATATATATATATATAACATGCGGTGCGTTGCGGTTTGAACCGAGATTTTATAAATACAAACCGCAAACCACACCGCATAGTGCGGTTTGATAAAATGACGAACCGCAAACCGCACCACGAAATTCTAAACCGCATTATGCGGTGCGGTTTGTGCGGTGCGGGCGGTTTGTGCGGTTTTTTGCACACCCCTAGTTATTATTATAATTTTGTTAAGACTAAACCAACCAACCTCTACTTATACACATATCAAAGGTGAAAATGATAAAGAAAGTGCTAAAATGTACTCCTTTATCTCATATATAAAAGAAACCGTGCTAAAATATACACCTTAATTTATCTCATTACTCATATATAAAAGAAACAAATTAAGTCCGTAATTTTTTTTTTGAAACGACAAATATATTAAAATAACACTTCACATCAAGACTCCAAGGGGAAAGTACAATACTGGAAAAAAAAACAAAAAACAAGAAAATTACAAACAAAGAAAAGAACCAAAATTTCAAACTCTCCAATCCATGTTTTGAAATGAACCTCTATGTTTACACCAAATGAAAGTTGTTGATTTTATCTTCTCCACAATATTAGCCGGTACAAAGAGAATGTTTTTGAAAACCCTTTGATTTCTATCTTTCCATATACATCACAATCCTCCACATAAGATCACATTCAACATACTTATTTTCTTTTTGCACTTCGACCACCGAGATATGAAAAGTAACATATCCTTCACCGAGTCAAATCCATCGTATGAGATTTCACACCAAGATAAAATCGAATTCATGACAGCTTTAGCCAATGGGCATAAGAGAAGGATGTGATCGCTTGTCTCCTCATCCAAGTTGCATGAACCACACATCGTCGATAGAATTGAAACTCCCCTTGATTTTAACGAAACTGGTGATGAGATTCTACCCGAACTTCGCTCTCAAGATAAAACATAAGATCTTAGTTGGTATCACTTTACACCATTCGAACGGTCCATCACAGACAATGTGACTCGCCATTTCAATCAAGTCCGTAAAAGCAACACATGACAATACAAAACTAAACGGGAATTAAATATGAACACATTTACTAGGAGTCATCTTAAAGAATGTTTACATTTTACAATATAAATATATAATGAAACACAAATTTTAGATATTTACAAATGAAAGATAACAAGTTAACAACGTAATAAACACGTGGTCGTCATGTAAAACGAGGAGACAAGCTAGTACATGAAAAGTCATGTACATGAATAAACATTTTCTAGAAATTCTTATTCTTCATATTTATCTTCAATTCTCTACACACTTCAACTACTAAAATGGAACGAGTCTTCCAAAAATTTCCACCATCCTCCTTTAAATTACTTGTCAATTTCTAAAATGATATTGACCGATGCACGTGGTTTTAGAATCTTGTATGAAACTATGAGTGTGGCATGCATAATGTTCTCAATTTTTAAATTGGAAGCCGATGTTTAGCCAGACTCTCGAGCTCCCTCTCCAATCACACGCCGATGTTTTCAGGTCAGGTAAAGGCTCATGTCGTGAAGATTCACCCTAAAGTGACCAAAGTTGTTGTCAAGGGCGGAAATGGTAGAGTAGAGGTGGATAAAATTGGAGGTTGGTGTGTGGAGATTTAGGCTTCCGGAAACAGTACAACCGGAGTTGACGACAGCTGTTGTTGTGGGAAGAAAGCTTACTGTTAGTGCCAAAGGAAGGCCGAAGCAGCTATTGCGGCAAGGTTGAAGATGGCGGTGAAAGAGGGCGGCTTATATTTATACATTAAATAAGAGTGTGGATGCATGAATTATAGATGACATGTGATGCATCCATTAAATAATATTAAGTTTAAGAGATGCTGTTAAAATATTTTGCTAAAAATATATAGAGAACTTATATTCGATCAAATAAGGATCTGGTTATTAAGTTTGTTATCTGTTATAAAGTTGTAACATATAATTACGATATCATGTTGGTGTTTAAAAGACAATTTAAAGATTGGCATTTAATTTTGATACTTCTTGGACAAGAGTTGACATAATTACAAAAAGGCCGTTCATGGTTCATTTTCATGTTCTTCAATATTATTTGATATTGTATCATGTCTATCATTTTGTAATTGGTGGAGTTGTTAGAACAAATGTTTATCTAGAATATATTGTATATTTATGGCGTTTAGACGATTGATTATTGTATCCGACTGTGTGAGAGGGATATAAATTGTAAATAGGACTAGATATTTGTATATGTTAGTGTAAGGTTTGTTTCTTTAAAAATATCCAAAGATCCTTATTAAAATGAGGTTATTTTTCTTATTAGGAATGTTTTGAAGTATTTTATGACCGACCCACCTTTATTTATACACATACAAGTGGTTGAAAATGGTAAAAAAGTGACAAAAGTCACAAAACTTCTCAAACGGTCATATAGCCAATGTGATTTTATTTTTTCACAAAATCACAATAACCAGCAAAATACCTAGACCGTCACACCTTTTAATTCTATGACTTGGCGATCCTGATGTGCACCTCTATCAAATCATTATCATAAATATTAAATAAGGAATAAGTCGATAAAAGTAACACCTAGCTTAAACCTGACAACACAAAACTAAACGGGAAAGTGAACAAACTAGTAGTCCTCTTAAAGAATGTCTACAATAGAGACACACGAATTTGAAATATTTACAAGTGACAGATAACAAAACATATTTAAACACGCGGTCGCCATGAAAAACAAGGAGACAAGCTAGTACATGAAAAGTCATGTACCTGAATAAACATTTTTTCTAGAAATTCTTATTCTGATATTTATCTTCAATTCTCTACACACTTCAAGTACTAAAATGGAACCGAGTATTACAAAAAATTTCACCATCCTCCTACAAACTTGTCAATTTCTAAAATGATATTGACCGCACATGGTTTTTCTAAAATGATATTGACACCGTTAATGTGCCATCATGGATTTAAAAATCAAAACTTATATTAACCATAATGACTCTTTTTCTTTGGTTCGTCCTGCACCTTTCAAAATATTTAATTTTTCAGAACCGGCTCTATGTGGCATGCATGTTCTCAACTTTGAAATTAGAAGCCGATGTTATAAAATAAGCGAATTGTATTTATAGAACTTAAAAAGCATTGTTTCCTTTGCTTTCCGCATTTAGAAAAACTATATTAAGAATCATCTTCCACTATTTTATTCGCTTTTCATTTTATTTTGGAACACAAATCTACTTTAATTCTAAACTATTCCTACATCTACCTATGTCTCTGTTGGGACTTGTACCCTCGACCTCAAAGAAGAAAAACAACGCTTAATACCGCTAGTCCCTATTAATCCATTTCATCCGACAACGATTTTTTTTACATATATACAATGTGCAAAATTACATGACTCTTTATCTTCTATATCAAGATAATTAGTTTTTCTAAACATTTAAGGGAATCAAATTATTTGATAATATGATTTGAATATATCATGTCGTTATGTCGTTACCTTTAGGTGTGATCCCGATTAAATGCATTCTCTTTCATTGATTTTGAATATTAATATATTGTATTGTCACTAGGTCTCATTAGAACTTGATCATGTAGATACAACATCATTGGAATTTAGTTAATGTCATAACTTCGTTGTATTTAAATACAATATCAATTCTTGTTGAAAGACAATTGTTTTGTGGCTAAAATATATAATACTATACCATTAAAATATAATAACTTTATTATAGGTAAAATGTTTATTAAGAAAATGTATAGAGTATAGGAATTTCTACCTTCATATTAGGGTTTAACATGATCTTAAAGAAAACAACTTCGATCGACTGGATTCAGTGAATAAGTTTTGGTTTTGCAATCAACCTAACGTTTTCAAGACGTTGATTCTCATACAAAAATACACAATGAATCTTCATGTCACGTTTAATTCCATCCCTATAAATCAACCAATCAATAATCTCAACTCCTCAATACATCCATCAAGCATAATTCTGATGGGTTTTGAACACTACATCATTCCTATAGTGTACATGAAAACCCTAATAGCTTTGGATCTAGTTTGTCTAATGAACATGCAATTGATTATCCAAAGCCATAAACCCTAGATCTAATAAACTATAACTGAAATTAGGGATTTAGATCTTACCTTTGATTGTTATATAGCAATAACAATCAATTCCTTGGCTTCAGAAAGCTTAGTGCCTCAAGTGTTGCACCTCTAATGGAGTCACAACCATCACTAAGCAATTAGATGAAGAAGAGAAGAGAGGAGGCAGCCCAAAAACGTCTAGAAACCCTAAAGGAAGTCTTAGCCACGTTTTTGGGGCCTTAGGAGTCTTTATACTTAGGCTATTAGGGTTTTGAACTTAGGAAACCCTAATCTGACTGCTTAGGCCCTAAGCAGCCCATGGACTC